CTAGACTTTGTTTTTATTCATCGCTGTGAAGATTTGTGATGTAGAAATTATACATCTATCTATCATTCTTGACTCTGATAATACAAAGTATTAAAGTCACATCAGCATGTTAAACGTGGAGAATATTAATCAAATCTTGTTATATAAGAATTTCATACATTAATTTTATTAGAGTATTATTCTATGCATACGTAACTTTGTCATAGATATTAAAGTTTTAAATATGTTCATGTCACAATCCAGTGAGATGAAAATACATATAAAAATCATCATTAATTCAATACACTTGTTGTTAAACTTTTTTTCGCATAAAACCAATACAATAGAAGTATAAGTTTTTTTTTTCGTTCTAATCGAAATTGAAATCTTCACTATTGATTACATGTAGCTTCTTTTAGAGACACTGTCGATATGATTTCTGCCTATTCAAAATTCCATATAGATGTCTAGTTATGTTTTAGACGAAAAATACTAACTTTCAACTAAACATCTTACAAATATCCTTCATAGTTAGCGAATGTTAAAAATGTAATAGAATATTAGTGATGCGTAAGTAGTTAATGAGTGATCGAAAAGTCATTAAAAAAGAAGAGTATAATGACGCTATATTCTTAATGTTCAAAAAATAGTACTACGTGACACACTTAATAATAGCAATAATGATACCAATGATTGATGGAATTATGAAGAAGACACAGCAAAATGTACAACAGATACGACGAATAGTGCATGAAGAGGAACTGTCTTTTTACACATGGTTGTCGTATAACACTTGGCATATAATTTGATCTATATGTGTTTGTTTGAGATGGCATACAAAGTCTTGTTATAAGTCTTTGCATTGGTTCATAATAGTAAGTTTTCATCCATTCTATTTTATATGTCATAGTCTAAAACAAAACACAGTTATTTAATACATCCGGACTAAAAGCATAACAGACAACAATAAGTGCGTTTTGTTCATCAATGGATACATAAGCCCAATTATTACTGTTTTGAGTATCTGGGACAATAAAGTCATGCGATATGAACGTTTCTCCAGGCTTTCCAACAAGCTCAGGTACTTGAACTTTTTGTTCCATCGCTTAACATGCTTATTCTACCGCTTGGATTAACAAAAAAAGGTTCACCTCCATCGCAAGTTTGTGATATTTAAACAAACCTATTACGGACTTTACGTCTTTGTTTTCTTCAGTTGTACACTCAAAACAATTTGGTTCATAATAATAAAAATTCATAGCTAAAATAACAAAGTCTGTAATGAGCACACAAAAAAAACGTATTATTTTATTCGAGTTGCTTGTTTCAGGAGTGTTTATTCGTATGAGCTGCTTTAGATATGCCATAATTCATAAAAAACATTTCAATGCTTACCTATCGAAAGAAAGTCATGTGATATTGACACATCTTGAGGTCTATGCATGTTAAGCACAAAAAGCGAAAGTTCGACTAGAGTTCTTATTCAAACTATGACCTGTACTCATGCTTGCTTCCCATATGATGAAATACTCAAGGAAATAATCAAAACTTATTGTTAAGACTCTATGCAAGTAAATAAAAGGGATATATTATGGTTATATTTTGATGAAAGATATTTACTTAGAGAAAAAAACATATTCAGATAATGATTTGAGAGCTAGAGAATTTAAAGTATGTTTCGATAATTGACTATCTTGCGTATCTTATCTTTGAGACAGAAAAAATAACATTTGACATCGAGATTATGAAATACTAGTCGATGTGATCTATAATATGATGTAAATTGAATTTTGTTGAAGCCTAGAATTTTTCTTAGTAATTAAAATGTGATTACAGATAAGTAAGATCAAACAAAATCTCAATAAGTTTTCGCTAAATCTTTAATTGCTAAATGACACTCTAGTACTTAAGGCGGAAAAATCGATATATTTCTGTTGAAACGTCGTAGTTATAAAGATAAGAATTGAATATATTCTCGTTTTCTGACACTAAGTTTTAGCACAAAGATTTGATTTAAAGGTTATATTGAGTTATATACGAAAAGTAATGAAAATTAAAAAATCTATATTACTACAAAATTGTTACAGAAAATGATTTCCGTTTTAAAACGACAATGACAATCGTAATAACAATACTCAAAAGGATTAGGAAACAAAGGAGTGAACCCAAAACACATCCTTTATTACAACAATATCTTGTTGTAGTTTGTTGACGTATGATCGGTGGAGATGAAGCTGATGTGTAATTTGATGTATACGTTGGTTGAGAAGGTGGCGTATAAGTAATAGCAGGACGTTCCATAAAACGAAATTTTGCTGCAAGTCTTTATAATTTGTTCCAAATAACTTTTTCTCATCCATTACATTTTATATACCATAATTTTGTTTATCTCATATGTCTGTCCAGCTATAACAATTGATTCAACAGCTAGAAGTTGATGGCGAACTTGACTTATCTCAAGAAATTCGTTCGAACTATCGCCACATAAAGTTTCATTATGGAAGAAAACTTTGTCATCTAGAATGTCTGGACTAAATATAACACAAAGATCGGCAAGTATTTTTTTGTGCACCAATCGATAAACTAGCCCAACGGTTGCAATCTGTGAAACGTCGAACATTTGAATCTTGTTCGTATTCAATTGCAATAAATAGACAATTTAAATAATACATAAGACATGCGACATCATTATACGATACATTTACTGTAACACCTGTAATTTTAATTCAACTTGATTTTTTTGAAAAAAAAACAGCTATTGGTTTTTGCGGATGAATGAAGAACAAATGATTATTACACTACTGGTCAAAAGTATCGACACTTCCTCGCATCTCAGTTACTATACGAGCTGTAGCGCTGAAATTGGTAGTTTATATGCTTCTCGATAAATGTAGATCAGCAGCGAAACTTGCGTCACGAAAGAATGAGTCACAAGAGTGTTATTAGCCAAACGATGTATCACCATTGTAGACTCTATAACTTGGCAACAACAAAACCTTTTGAGCTCGAGCTTTCGTCACTTTAAAGCCCTGTATATTGGCTATCTCTGATAAAAATCTCATCAATATTCATCGAGTTTTTGTGAAACTAGACTCATTTTACTAAAGACATGGATGACATGACAAACCGTCAGTAAGCAATGTGTTTGCCACAATTCAGTCTGAGATCGCCATATAGACTCCAAACTTATAGGTTAAGATACCCCGTAGATATGCAGCATTTTCTAAAATTTTCAGACTTATATCACTCACTGGAAGGGAATGGCACTATGCTGAATGTGTAGATATTGTCACAGGTCTAGATACTCGAATACTCAAGCAAATGATCTCATCTTTGGAGTATATAAACAGCATGCTTAGAGACACAGTTCTATCGAAAAATAATCGCAAAATTCGCAAAATAACACAGAAAACGAGAGGTGAACATTCTAAGCCATTTTTTTTTGCTAGTAGACTCAGAAGACCGTTGACAGATACGATCCCGATGAGTAAATAACCTTCAAGTCTTGTCAATAAGCAAAAAACCTCTCTTCCCGATATTTTCTCAAGAGCATAGAACAATAACAGAAAAATGTTTCTATCGTGGAAAAATGATTAAGAAAGTGTATCTCTCGTTTTCTGTGTTACCTGGAGAAATTTTGCGATTATTTTTCGATAGAACTGTGCCTCTAAGCATGCTGTTTATATACTTCCAAGATGAGGCCATTTGCTTGAGTGTGGGTGAGTGGGTGTGGGCGTGTGGGCGTGTGGGCGTGTTTGTATTTTCTTTTCACCAATAGCCACACCCACAGGCACATCCACATTCTCACCCTCCTGGGGAAGTCCAGTGGTTTAGTTGGAAAGTTCTTGTGGGTGAATTGCGACAGATTATTCGAGAACTGACTTCATTTTTAACGTTTTTTTTTCTTTGGTTTTCGTGGATTTTATTTGTCTGAAGGGAAGGCTGGAGCAAAATGAATGATGTACCTGGATAGAGCTCGTCGAGTTCTACTTGGACAGTTGCTTGGCTTTTTTGGAAAGTTTTTTGCAGCGAATCTTTGCAGGAAGTACTCGAATCCGGACCTAAGATATCCTACGTCCTGTATAGCGTCACCCCATGTGGCTTTTTTTCACATTTGACCTTTAATCGGGCACAGAGAAACCAGCAGACACACACTGAATATTATATATATAGATTATCAGTATACAATTTAGTTCTTGGTAACTATTATATTTACTCATTAAATTAATATTTTGTGCTTGTGTTATTGAATGTGAATGTAGGTATAAGTGCTAATATCAAGTAGGCCGATACCCACATTCTTACATACGGAGTGTTTTTAAATTAATTATTGAACTTTCTGAACTGTTTCCTGTGCCACAATTAATATTTTACTGAGCAATTAAATACAAACTTTTTAAAAGATACTTAGGAAATTGATTCTATCACAGAAACCAAACAATGATTACTAAAAAAAACAATTTTTTGTTTTTCGACTAAATATATTTTGATTGTTCGATAAAAGATTGTATATAAAAATTTTAAATACATAAGGAACGGCCACAGTTGTATCGTCTGCCTCTCATAAAAGACGTCATTTGAATGTTACTATTCTATTTCAATAATTAGTCACATATACGACCATGCAAAGTATTTTAAAGTGCAAAGTTTAACATATCATTTTACTTTTTACATTTGTTTGAGACACGTAATAGAGTTCTTTTCTCTAGAACTTTCTGGAAAAGTTTGGAACAGTTCCTGGACAAATCCTAGCAAATTTTACTCGAATCTTTAGCTAACTTCACCTACGTGTTTTTCTTCTCAAATGAATCCAATTCATGTCATTTCATCTAAGACTATGTGAATTTGCTCTTTTGTGCTCTTATCATTACTCATCAGTTATTTCGTCAATACACGTGTGTCATGTATGTAATTACATCATTCTCACGCTTAATTTCATTGCATTGAAAAGAATAAATTGCAGATGATTTGAGTTGTTCACTCATTAGACAAGAAACTTGCATCAAACGAGAAGCATATTAATGGGTGAAAACAATTTTGACATTGAACAAGAACTCTGTAAATTCGTTCGTGACGGTAGATCGATTGAATTCGATGAATATCTTCATATACACTCTGATGTTTCCAATCTCCTTACAACAATAATTCAACAACACAATGAATATTTTACTCTACTAATGTTGGCCGCTCTCAATGGACATGATGAAGTGGTGCGTCTGTTACTTAGTCATTCTCCTACTGGAATCGAAGTTGAGGGATCTGTGTACGATTCTGAAGGAAATTTCGTAGAACATATAACCGCATTATGGTGTGCTCTTGATCGTGGTCACTTCGAAGTGGCACGTACTCTGATTGATTTTGGTGAAGCTGATGTCAACCATGGTCCATATTATCCATTGTTAATTGATGCTAGTAAAAAAGGACGACTCGACATTGTTCAATTCTTAGTTGAGAATGGATATGCTGATGTCAATCAAACAATAACAAATGATGCAAACAAATACAGTAGTCTGATTCTATCGGCCCATTATGGTCACAAAAATGTTGTCGCTTATCTCCTAGATATAGGTGCTGACATTGAATATAGGGCACACGCTGAGCAAAATACAGCACTGACTACGGCCGCTAGAGAAGGTCATTTGACAATAATACAACTGTTGTGCTGGGCAGGGGCATCTATTAATGTCAAAAATCACAATGGAAAAACGCCTATGATGTTGGTAGCTGAGAGAGATGCATTTGAAGCGATTGATTTTTTACTCGAATATATTCATGATGAGACAACTTTTGATGATCTTGAACTCGTTGCTTCCTCATATATAACTTCCAATAATGTTATTACACTCGATGAACGTCAACGAATGGTACGTCTATTAAGAAAATCACTCGAACAACGTGTTTTGTTTAATGTACAGAAAACAGTGAGTCAGCCAATTGCTGCCTATGATTTCCAGAAAGAGTGTGAGACAATTGATGAACTTGACCAGATTCAATATGATAATGATCGTTTATGTATCGAAGCACTGCTGATTTGTGAACGGATCCTCCTCGTTCGAAAGGAAAAGCGATTATTCCAACCATTACTTGAGCGAGCAGTCACATTTGCTGAAAACAACCAGTTCGATCGTTCTTTACATCTGAATCTTCATCTCTTTCATTTGCATCAACAAATGGAGATTCAGATTTCTCTTCAACGATTTGTATGGGTATTCTGTAGGATGATCACTGCTCAAATACCAATTCCTGTCGATCAATTCTTGCAGATATGTCATCTTACTTTCGAACCTTCACACCAAAAACCAATTAATAGCTTCATTAAAAATACCTTATATCTCATAGCAATTGCAGCAAAGGTATGATAGATGCTCAGCAACAATAATAATCAGCTAGGGAAGAAAGAATTTAGATGTATCATGTATAGGAAAGGAGTTATTAACTCAAATCCTGTGCGATAAAAATTTAAAAAGTGATGGAAATACTATAATAAAGCATGAAAAACGGTGAGGTGAATCAAGAGAAAGGATGGTCATTTTTCTTAGCTTAAACTTCTTCATTTATGAATAATCATGTTTCATAAAATTATTCGTTTTAGAAAATTTCCTAACATATTGCGATTATTTGGAAGAAAAGAGTTATTATAGTAAACAAATACTCGATGGAAGTTTTGAAAGTGATCTTTAAAAAAGTATCTCAAAGATTCCTAATAAAATGAAGTACTGAGCTTTGATCGACATCTTGTTGACGTAAGACACTAGAATATAGAACAAAAAATACATAAATCTTGTCTATTGATCTATTAAAAACATCGTGATAGATAAGTTCAAGAGACTCAACATAGTACGTGAATTATTTATTTAAAATCTTCTTTTTTATGTGATTGAATGACTTAAAGTCATATTGCAGATTAAAATTCTGATATTTCAATATTCTTGTGAAACAAGACTGGAAAAGAATGTCGAAGTGCTGATTGTAACCAACCAAAAAACTGCAATAGACATAGAGAGATATCTCTTCCAATGAAAGTTAATGTAATTCCATTGTATTTCACATTTTAATGAAACATAGTCTGTGCTGAAAGTTTCATCATAATATTTTCTCGATTTTTCAATTTCTAATGAATTACAGTGTATGCATTACTGGTCTATTCTTGATAGTTTGAGTATTGACTTGATCTAATTGATATTTTCATTCGATCTTAAAACCGTTATAATCAAATTCCGACATCTTAATGAAGGATAGAGTCAGTATTTCTTGATTAATATTTTTAAGTAATTTAGACGAATTTCGATAGATCATCGATCAAATTAATAGAAATTTAAAATATCAATATGTCACTATTCTTGTTGAATACTACTTTAGGTTCTCGAACAAACAACAGCCAGTAATGAAGATCGTCGATCCATTATTATATGGATTAGAAAACTATGTCAAAAGCAATACACAACGACAGAAGGACAAAATTTATTACATATGAGCGTTAATCCCCAGACATGCTACGGTATTAATTATCGACCAACCGACATCATTCAAGTACTTCCGTAAGTGATCACAGATCATTAGATTAATTCTTCCATGGATAGACGATTTTTGTATCGAAATGAAAGTTTGAACATGTTATTCGACTATTAATTTTCTCTTTCATAGGTTTCCCAATTTGGATTCTACTCAGCTTCTTCTTGCGTATGGACAACAATGGATCGATGTGAATGCTAGGGATCAAAATCGTAGTGATACTGCTCTACACATCGTTTCTCGTAATTTTGATCAAAATATTAAAGAAAATGTCATGAAAATAATAGAAATTCTTCTCAATGCAAATGCTCATATTGATTATGTTAATTATCATGGAAAAACACCTTTTGATGAAGTTGTTGACACTGACATACGATTTCTTTTACAATCAAAACATAAACTTCCACGACTCAAATGTCTTTGTGCACGTCTTATTACTATCCATCAAATTACCTACGATCATGTGTGGCCTAAGCCAACGGCATTGACTAATTTTGTACAATTGCATAATGTTCTACCGTCAGAAGATGAAATGGGTTTTGGTTTATTTGACTAAGATAGTGAAGTCGGAGTTCGATTGTTTGGAATCCTATCAACAAGATAGTAAAATGATGTTCTTTTTTTTTTTTAAAAAAAAAGGCCCAAGAACAGTAGCAACTCAGTTAATAATATCGGATTCATACTCAAACATTGACATGTATCAATAGAAACAGTGATCAATTTGAGTAGGTATAAAAAATTTCTCTCTATGACATTATTTATTCAAGTGAAATAGGTTTTTGTAATTAATTGAAATGTGAATAAGAATTTTGAATTAAATTCAATAGTATCTCTTTTCACTCTAATAACTAAAGATAAACAAATTTTTTTTTCTGAAATAAACAATTGACATTGATTCTGACTAAGATTATTGATTGGTACGAATCTTCGATTAAGATTTGTCAATGATCAGATATTCTTGATTTTCATATTAATCTCAAATAATCAAAATGTTAAAACAATTTCTCAGTTCAATTAAATATGATTTCAAAAAAACCAAACTAGTGTTTTTTAACCATGCACTTCAAGAGACCGAAACAATTTTCAGAATTTCTGAAGTTATTTGTAGAGTAATAAAGGTTACAAGAGGATGAGCCATGACAAGAAAAATCAATGCAATATTGCCACTATGACTACCTATCCATTCGTCAAAACTCATGATGAACCGAGATTATAGTGGTTTAATTTTACTATTTACTACATTCTTTTGTTTTTTTCAAGTACAATCAAGCACTAATGTGATCGGATTCAGTCGCATTTGCTAAAGTTCGTACTTTTCTCGATGCGATCTAATGGTGGGTTCGATCAGTTTCGATGGAATTCATTAAACAGAAGGAATGACCTTAGTATAGAATTTGACTTGTCATCATTCGAAAGATCTTTTTTTTAGAGTGTCTATTCGTCTAACAATAAAACCTTTTGTATTGTTAATCGAGTTGATTGAACATGTTCGGATCAAATTAAAGATCTCATCATCAAACTAACAAACTTAAAATATTACGTCCTCATAGGGTACCTAGAGCAAGTTATTTAAATTTGAAGGTATGTGAAATTTAGGTATAAAAATGAATCAGGAAAGGTTTACTCCACCATTGTAAGGATAAAACATGCTACCGTTCGGGTCATATGAGAGAGAACTCCTTCAAACCCCTATTCGCCCCGCTCAAGACTATGTTTTGTCCTTACAGTGGTGGAGTAAACCTTTCCTGATTCATTTTTATACGTAAATTTCACATACCTTCAAATTTAAATAACTTGCTCTATGTACGCTATGGGAATGTAATATTTTAAATTTGTTAGCTTGGTGATGAACATGTTCAATCAACCCGATTAACAATACAAAGTGTTGCATTGTAAGATTCATAAGGTTTACAAAGTTTTTTATTAGTATTTTTTGAAGTGTATCCAGATCTTCTGGATTTTGCAGAAAAATTTCAGATTATAAAGATTTTTCTAAATTTTAGGTACTTTCTATTTCAATTATATGTCACTTGTTTATTGATTATATTCTATAGAATTTATTGTTAATTTCGAAAGAGATTTAGGTTTTCTTTCTGTTGATCTGTTCAAAAGACGAATATATTGTTCTTTTATTCTTGCACATATTTTCTTCTTTCATTCGACATGAAACAGAGATGCCCATAGCGATTGAGAATCTGCCGCTACCATACTGTCGCTCTTTCGAAAATTTGCCATCATTATGGTATTATCGATGTGATTTAGAGAAGCACGCATTCTCTAAAATAAGAAAACAATTGTCATAAAACTTGTATGAATTCTTACGTTGAATACTTGTACGAGATAAAATAGGTGACAATCATGAAATTATTAGAGTTGCAACTGAATTATAAATATATAACAAGTAATCAGAACCAATACGAGAAGATGTGATCTAAAATAACGCCGAAAGTATATTGACTAAAATTAGATAGCCTCTGTCCATTACAAGAAGCGAAATAACACAAAATACAATATTTAAATCCAAGATATGGCTTAATATCACTCATATGAGCAAAATCATTCGTTAGCGACGTCACTTTGCAAAATTGCAACGCGTATATTTTGGGATCATGATATTTCCAGGAGCTAATTTTTATACATTAAATTTATGTTAAGTCATTCTAGGTACTCTGAAGAAAATCAGCCTTCGAGGACTACGTTCAGAAGAGTTATCACTAAAATATTAGCGTTAGTGACGTGATACAAAAAAGGACATCAACTTTCACTTCATGCATTTTAGTTTGAATAAACTTCAAATTAATAGAACATTTTTGGAAACTAAATAGTACATTCTGCAGACAACTTCTGAATCTACAAAATCTCTATTCAAAGGTTTTTCTGAGCATGTCTGGATTTTTCTAAAAATGCTCTTATAACAAGATAAAAGGTTCGAAACTAATTCCAAACTATACAAAACCTTCTTCAGGCACTTCACATTATCATAAGACAAACATTTTTGTTGCAGGACTTGGCAGGACATCTAGAGTGCCGGTTTCTCATCAAGAAAATTTTTCGAGTCCAATTCGACTGAAAATTTCACCATAGATGTAGTTCATACCATCCAGTCTATCCTGAAATGTTTGGTCTTTTTGTCACACTGTTACAGAAATATTCATTAATTACTTCTTAATTAATCAATTTTAATTAAGTGGCATTTGAATGAGCTAACAGTTTTACATATGCTCATTCTAAAAGAACTTATTGAGAAAAATCATCCTTGTAAGAAAGCAAAGTCAATTGAAGGGGAAAAGAGAATGTTCCATTTTGCTCATATATGTGATTACACATAAATACTGCATTCAATATAGACTTCACTGAAATCTCTTGATTTTTGTTCACTTTCTATTTTTAATGATAAAACCAACGGGTACTAATCACACGTTCTAGATTTCATGTTCGCTATCTCTACTAGTAATTTGTTGAGAACAAAAAAGATTTAATTTTTATGTGCGCCTTTGACATATATAACAATTATAATGGGATAGAATACATATTTTGAACTTATTATTACCATACACTCCCAAATGATGCATGATTCAATCGCGCGATATTACCACTGTTTCTGTCAGACGATGAGATAGTCATAAGAAGGTGTTGGTTGAGAAACGAATTCACGCTTATCTAAATCATAGTAAAATTATGATTTCAACGAATGATGATTTTTTTCAAAGAAAAGTTTAAAAAATTCAACCATGGCCGTATCGCCATGTTCAGCTGATATAAGCACACCTTCACTCCTTTGTGAGTAGCTGTTATTAATTTATCGGAATGATATTGAGATTATTATATTATAAATAAGAATGCAAATAAAAAGATATGAAAAATTCAATAGCAAATTATTGCATTGTCTTTCGAAAGCGATTATGCAGGAAATACTGTTCAACAATATATAAGACAATAACAAAGACACAAGGTAAAGCAAGATCTATAACACTCGCAATATTTTTTACAACACCAAATGTATTTAAAGAAGTTTCAATTTGCGTGATTGTTTTGTGACTGCTGTTTGCTGGTTTAAAATTAGAGAAATTGTCAGTTAAAACCAGATTATGAAGTTCCTGTTCTGTGTTTGTATCCATTATATTCGTCCCACTCAGCACTCAAATACAAATTTGAATGATATAAGAAAAAAATGTATAAATTATAGTTTCAATCACTATGTAGAGCAATGATTTTCATCATATTTTTTCATTCGTGTGAGTCAACGAAAGCAGAACGTGCTTGTGCAAAAATAACAATAGGAACAACATATAAGAACAGACAGACAAGTTTCTACCTCTTCTTCAATAGAAAAAGAATAGAAATCATAACCACACACACTTATTTTTGCGTTGTACACTGTAAAATCTATCTGTATTTTTTTCGGATACATAACATGAGAAACAATCCATTCTATTTTTTCTTTCAGGTAAACTTCATTGGTTAGTTCTTTATTACCATAAAAAATTGCATTGAGACGTTTTTTATTTCGTATTCGTTGTCGATATCGAAGGTACTTAAGGAGATGATTCATGAGTATATTGAATGCAGAGATGAGCACAGGACAGGACGGTGCGGTCGTCCTGTGTCCTGTCCTGTCCTGCGCGGCAGGACAGGAGGGTACACCATTTTTCGTCCTGTCCTGCCGCTCAACAGGACAGAGGTTGACTGC